CGGCTGCACCGAAAATGAGCATATATATATATATATACACACTCTTTGTTGCTCAGTTCCTTTTTTTTTTAATTCTCATATGTTGGTAAATTGTGCATTTTGTTTGCTTCAAAAATGATTGAATTATGTTGTTCTTATCTTCCGGTTTAGGTTTTTATGCCTTTAGTTAATCTGCATGTAACAGTTGTAGAATTATCAACAATTTAAAAGTTGCTGGAGAAATGCGGCTAAGCCTAATTATTTTAGCATAGCAGCCACATTTGGTACATTTGAATTAGCAGAATAATGAATTAAGTCAGTGTCTTTTTGCAGAATGGGACCAGAAGTAAACTTTTAGTTTTGTGCACCGAAAAATCTGCATCAAATTGCTTGTTTCTGCGCTGGCCGAAGTTGCTTGTTTTTGCGTAGAAACTTTAATTTTAATTGTAAAATTTTTTTTAATTGTTTTAACTGTATTTTTTGTTTTATATTTTTCAATTTTTAATAAAGATATTTTGAGGTTTTATGTATTTTTGCCTTGCGCGAAATGAAAACTGAATTCATCGAATGAGAAATCTATCTCTAATGAATTTCCAGGAAATAAGTTTAAATGAAATGCAGGAAAAATTGCGTATAATTTAATATTCCGTACAAGGTAGTCCTGTGGTGTGCGGATCAGCTTTTATAAAGTGGAATCATGAGTGTGTGGTTAATTATTTAGAAAATATTTAATCCTTTAATCTTCTTGAAATGCCTTGTATAATTTTCCCTTCCCTTCCCTAATGGGAGCGAAACATTCCTAATGCTGCTTAGGATAATTGATGAAATAAATAATGTAATAGTAAGTGATGAAGCTTGCAGAAATGAAACCGTAACGACTACCTTTTTCATTAAATATGCATTGTTTATCCACGCTTTGTGTTTGTCCGCTGTAAACACTTTTTCGGGTTACACCCTTGTGCAAAACGTATGATTAAAGATTCTATTCTTCCGTAACTGTTTTTGTGCCTTGCTTTTCTCTCATTATATTCAAAACCACGGAAACCTGTAAATTATTTTAAGGGTGTTAGCCCAGTAAGGCCATTAATTGCGTTTTAGCATTTTGCGTTGAAAGCTTTAAATGTCCATTTCACTTTTCAAATTGCTGCCACCCAATATTATCGGCGTTTGTTATACTTAAAGAAATTAAATGAAGAAGAATCTGCATAAATGTATATATGTTTCTCGCATTGGTATAAAACAACGGTACCTAGAGCCAATGAATTTTGGATAACGTAATCCTCCACCGAATATAGGCATCTGGAAGCTCTAATTTGGAATTTGTTTTTATTATCAATTTTATATTTTGTAACACTTTAGCGAATTTTTGATTAACAAACTCAACGATTTCAGATCGAGCAACGGCAGCAGTATACGGGGGAGAAAAACCTTTTTATTTCCAGCGCGCGAGACTGTGTTTCGGTGTTGGTGTATTTAATTATGGCAAAGCACACTAGGGCTATCTGCCTAAGGGGAGGGATGCCTTTCGTGGAGGACTTTCTAAGGGAAACTGGCTCGTATATACGTTACACATGGGGAAAACCACGAAAACACCCATGCAGCCAGCCCGTTCGCGGGATTCGAACCTCGGACCGAACTACCAGTGTTCAGCGACTTTACCGCTCGGCCGCTGGTGGGCCTGTGTTTCGGAAATTCTAAAGATAGGCTCGTTTTAAAACTCTTTTGCGATTGAACTGAATTTTATTGTTTAACTGGGAAGAACATGATATTTAATAAATAAAGGTAACACGGAAAATATTAAGAAAACACCCATTTGGGCGTAATATAAAATCTGAAAGCTTTCAAACTTTTATTTTTTGTTCACTTTTGTCAACCTTTAAATTGTAGCTAGTTTTGAATATGTTTGAAAGCATATACAATTTCGCAACATAAAATACATAAATCGGTCTACTTTTAAGAAACCTTTTGCGGTTTTGTTTTTGTTAAGATGATGATATACCACACGATTAAAGGTCTTAAGAAGCCAAAAACGTTACTAAAAAGAGAATATAGGTACTCAAGAAACGGTTTGGGGAATTCTATTGATAAAATACTCTTCGGCGCCTTTACAAGAAATGCCGTATCTCCCTCACTTCAGCAACTCTTTGGTAGCCAAATCCCTTGATCGATAATTCTATTTGAGAAATAACTTCCGTTTAAGACGGTTTCTTATGGGTCATAAGCTTTTGACAGATGTAATATGAAAATGCATTTACTTTTTTTAGCTTAAGAGCTGTTAAAAGTTGCTTTACTATAAACAAAACCTTATCCTGAAAATATGATCCAGTGTTATATACTTATGGATAATTCTATTTGAGAAATAAATTCCATTTGATATGTTTTCTTAGGGGTTTTGAACGAGATAGAATGAAAATGTATTTGTTCTGCCAGTTTAAGAGCTTTTGAGTTGGTTTTTTTTAAAGGAAAAATTAATTAATTAAAAAAAAATAATATTATTATAAATCTGAAAGCTTTCAGATTTATAATATTATTATAAATCTGAAAAAGCTTTCAGATTTTACATCACGCGCAAAGGGCCTTTTTTTTTTTTTTTAACGTTTTGTGTCTTACCTTTATTTATTTATTAAATATCATGTTCTTAAACCAAAAAATTCTGATCAACAGCAATATCGCAATTATTAAAAAATGTACTCGCTATTGAAAAAAAAAGCAATCCTCGTTATTAAAAATTAAAATAAGACGTTTGAAGCTACGAGAAAAATTGACTGGGATATTTAATTTGGTTATTTTATCAATTTCTGTTGTGATTTTCATCTTTACTTTAGTTATCGGTCAATTTATAATTATTATTCGAGAAAATAAGTTTAAATGAGGCACAGCAAAAAAAAAAAATGTGTATAATTTAATGCGCATACAATCATACGTGTGGTGTCTACATCAGATTTTATTTTATTACTTCCTTGTACGAAGTATAAGTATTGAAATCACGAAGAATTCCGGAACCATATTTCAACGAAAATATCTATTTTGAACAGTATCGAATGCAGTTTAAGGATGTTTTTGCGTTACATTTGTACGTAAGGACAGAATAAAGGACTCTTTTTCCCCAAACGAATTATAAAACTGATTTAAAATGGATTCATAAGAGAATTTTTTGTGACGTATGTACGTACGTACGTACGTATCTTGCATAACTCAAAAACGAATAGCCTCAGAACGTTGAAATTTTGTATATAGGACTGCTATAACATGTAGAAGTGCGCATATATATATATATATATATATATATATATATCCATTCTGTTAACCGGTTCAGTGATCTCAGTTTCTTCACTCTTACATGTTTGTAAGTTGTGCATTTTTTGCTTTAATAATGATTGAATAATGCTGTTCTGATCTTCTCGCTAAGGTTTGTATGCCTTTAGTAAATTTGCATACAATATTTGTGGAGTTATCAACAATTTAAAAGTTGTTTAAGTGCAGCTAAGCCTAATGAATTTTGCGATGGCGGACATGTCTGTTTACATTTTAAAGTTGCCAAATAGCGGATTTGTTGCCAATCTAGACAAAGTAAGCTTCAACAAAAATAACGCTGTCTTTTATTATTGCGAATTAAATCATATTTTATCCATTCTGGAATTTATTCGAGCAAATAAGTGTTTAAGATTTACTTCATCATTTTCAATACATACATTTTGAGTTTTTATGTATTTTTGCCTTGTCGCAAAGTGAGAACTAAATTAATTCAATGAGAAATACTGAATCGTCTGTGAAAAATTCTTTTATACATCATTTTAGATTTATTATAGTATTTGAATAGAACATGTGACAACGATTAGATAATTCTTCAACTGATATAAATTTTTACGCATTTTTTCAGCTCTTTTATTATTCGTCTGTACATACGTATGTACGTATCTCGGATAACTCAAAAGCTAATAGCCTCGCTATTAAAAATTGAAAACGTTGAAATTTTGTATATAGGACTGCTATAACATGTAGATGTGCACCTCCCTTTTAGGTTGCAATCGGCCACGCCAAAAGTATATTTATATATGTATAGCTGTATACATAATATAATTTATTTATTAAAGAAATATTGATTATATTATCTCCTAAGATTAATTTTAGTAGAATTTATTTTAGAGAATAACTCGATTTCTAACTAAGTGAATTTAAGATCATGCAACATTGTATACATAATATAGATATACATATATATATCCACTCTGTTACTCGGCTCAGTGAGCTCGGTTTTTTTTTTTTTTTTTTTTTTTTTTATTATTATTTTTATTATTATTATTCTTGTATGTTGCTTAATGTGAATTTTTGCTTTAAAAATGAGTGAATTATGTTATTAATATCTTCCGGTTAAGGTATAAAGCCTTTAGTTAATCTTCTTTCAACAGTTGTAGAATTATCAACAATTTAAAAGCTATTTAAATGCGGCTAAGCCTAATATTTTACCATAGCAGCCATATTTGTTTACATTTGTAATTTAGCAAAATAGTGAATTAAATCAGCTTCTGTATCTTCGGCGTATTTTTGCCGAGTGGGACCAAAAGTAAGCTTTCAGTTTTGTGCACCGAAAAATCTGCCTTCTTTCCTACTAGCCAAATTACTTGTTTTTGCGTACTGGCCGAATTACTTGTCTTTGCAATTTTAATTGTAAAAATTGTATTTTTAAGTGTTTGAACTGTTTGGTGTTTCAAATTTTTCTATATCTTTCAGTTTTTAATGAAGATATTTTGAGCTTTTATATATTTTTGCCTTACCGCGATGTGAGAACTGAGTTCATTGAATGAGAACTGTATCTCTAAGGAAATTAGAGGAGATAAATTTAAATGAAATGCAGGAAAAAATACGTATATTTTAATATTCCGTACAAGGAAGTCATCAGAGTTTTAAACATTGTTCTGTTATTATTCATATTATTTCTTACATTTCTAAAAGGAGATAAGTTTGTGTATGCAAAGAGGAATGCTTGACTATTGCTAAAATAATGTTTCTTCTTGCAGAGTACAATCGTTTCGAGGCCAAGATTCATGACCTGAGGGAGCAGATGCTGAGTACCTCTGGTAGTCTACGCACCTCGCAGAAGAGATCGCTTTTTGTCAGGTAACATCCCTTTGTCACATTCATTGTTCAAAGACAAACTCAATTCGGACACCTCTTCGGGCATAAGAAACAGAAATTCTCGTTTTGACAAGGAAACGCTTCTAATTAACATAAAAGGTGTGACACAAAAAACCAATAGTCATTATACTTACGGAATCAGTTCTCCGTGACATTGTCACCTTCAAAGTAGCCCCCTTCAGCATTCATTCTGCATTCGGTGGTGCCATTGCTGGTAACAGTTCTGGAACGACGTTTTTGAAAGGCCCTTCAGGAGATTCTCCGTTTTTGTCTGAACCTTTTCGGCTGACGTAAAATGGGTTGCTTTTAACCCTTTGCGGAACAGTGTGTCCGGTCTGGACACACTTAAAACTTTCCTTCTGTACTCACAGAAAAATTGAATGAAAAGGATTTATAGGTTACTCTGAACCTTCTTTATTTATAGTAGATGGCAGCCCAACACAAACCAGTCCATATATTTTAGCCATGTTGAGTTTTTTAAGGCCCTCATTTTTCAAAGAAATCTCCCAGATTTTTTTACGGTATAAAAGGAATTGTTTGAAAAGAAATTTCTATGCTATTGTTTTGGCTGTATGCTAATCTCCTTATTCTATATTATTCTTTAATTTGTACCATGAAATCTTGCCTAAAATCAAACGGCGAACCCTAGGTGTGCCCAGACCGGGCTCACCGATCATCTAGGATAACTAAGAATCTGTATTCTTAGTTTCTCCGCATCTCATCGGTCAGTTCATTGAGAAGAATGCTCGTTTCAGCACTCTTTTCGAAGCTCTGTTCAAGCAGTGTGCCCACAGAATTAAAACGATAAGTACTATCTTCACAAAATTTTACTTGTGTACTTCTCTAGGCCTAATTAGACGGCCTACCTTTTTTTTAATAAAAACTCCGACTTTAAAAGGTAGCGTGCCAGAAAGAGTTAAGTAAGATTTAGCTTTAGGACATAAACGGAAATTGGATGGATCCAAATTGTAAGGATCTTAAGTTTTACTAACGTTTATTTTATTTTAAATCTTTACTATCACTTCTTATTTTCTACTTCCGGCCAGAATTATAAGCGTTAAGGTTTATGCAAAGTTTGTCTGGCGAACGCCAAGTATTTAAGTTGTGGCTTTTTGCCAAGCGAGAGAGAGGAAGCAGTGAGTCGAAGCGGTCCGCTTACCTTAGAAGTTACGCAGTTGCTTTTTGCCTTCCAGGCCAGAGGTTTTAATCCTCTTGATAAATTTTAAACGTATTGTAGTGTTCACAGTTCTCTGTACTACATACGCTTCCTGTTAATATAAGGCCAATCTTCCACGTTTATTATTCTAAAGTTAAATTAGAGTTTAGTTTTATCTTTATACTTTTACGTTTTGACCCCAAGTAGCGGGTCGGTGTATTCCGAAGTACGGAAGTCATTGTAAATAGAGAAAAATAAAGGGTTTTGTATACCCTTCTTGTGTATCCTGTTTACTTCCCACAGTTTTGAACATAGCTTTAGTAAGCTCTCTGTTCCGAGTCAGGTCCTTGCATGTTCCCGAAGAAGGTAAGAAGGAACATTGAACCTGATAAAATCAGGTGAATAAGGAGGATGCCCCATCACAGTAATGTTTTTGCTCGTCAGAAACTGCTCAACAGATAGGACCGTTTGAGCGGGTGCATTGATCTGGTGCAATCCATCACTCCACAACTGTGTCCTTTTATCCTAAATTTTTCACGAAGTCTTTTTTAATACTCCAATGTAGCAGTGTTGATTAACTGTCTGACCGCTGGAACCCATTCAGTCATGATGAACGTGCTAGGCGCGTTCATCATCTTTCACACTGTCTCATTCCCCTGAAAATCGCTTATACCATTCAAACACACGTGCATAACACAAAATTTAATCTCCATAAGCCTCGGTTAACATTTGAAATGTTTCCTCTGATTTTTTAAGTTTCACAAGAAACTTGATGTTGATTCGCTGTTCGGTTTTTACATTAGATATTTTTCCGGCAGAATGCAGTTGCACGTGTTCACTCGATGACGCAGTACTCCCCACTGGCGTGGTCGGTTAAGTGAAAACTGGCCGCATGGATAGATGAGGTGTGTGACATGACGTCACCCAAACAGTTGTTGCCAAGTCCACTCTGTCCTTAAGCTACATACTTAGTCTCGTTCATTTTGTGTTACACCTCGTAAGAATTCCAGAGCATTTTTTGGGCTACGAATATGCGAGAAACTGACTGTGTCCTCGCCGGTGTCAAAGCATGACAGGATAAGACAGGAAGAAGTGGGGAGGGCATCAGAACTTCATTCAAAATGGATTTTGATTTAAGACCGTATCATACATTGGAAATATTTCGGAAGACTAACTGTTTAGTTTGACCACCCGATGACGAAGTGGCTAGCTAGCTGCACCACAGATCCTGGGTTCGATCTCCAGGCTGGGCGAGGTTGACTTAGTCTTTCATCCCTTAAGTGGGTCGATAAAATGAGTATCAAGTTAGCTTGGAGACTAAATACCGGGAGTCCTGCGACAAGCTGACCACTTGCCCAGCACATAGGCTGTTGTACTCCGGGGCCCAAAGGACAGGAAAGCAGAAAAGGGCACTGAAGGCCGTAGCCCACTAGGGCTGTTGCGCTACTGAGTTTAGTTTACATATTTTCACATATAACATATAAATGTTATTATTTTATATATAACTGTTTAGCTTACATATTCCCACGGATTACTTAAGGATCACCATGTAAAAGGGAAATTCGTTCTTCATCACAAACATGCTAACCACTAACAAAGAACTGCCATTCAAGTTTAGCACAATGTTAATTGGGGAAAAACGTACACTAAACAACTTTTTCCGAAGGGGGGGGGAATCACACACCTTTCTTCAGAAAAAAGCCTATTAAAAAGCTGTAACCTGTAGAAAGGCTATGTGAAACAGCGTGCCCCTTGCTGTACAGGTACTATATGCTTACAAACATTCGAGACTTCTCCCGGATGTATATTTCGTAAGTGCACATCTGTATAGCCACCGAGAGAGTGGCTTCTAGAATAGACCAATGGGGTTCCAGTAGTATTTCTGTCATGTCACATGACTTTTGCCGCGCTTTTAAGCAAGATGGTGGTAAATGTTTTGTTATGCAATTTCATGTGCAAAGTAATTAAAGCATTGTATATTTAAATATAAGCATAATTATATACGCAGAAGTCTTAAAATTTTTTATTGCATTCTGTATATGCATTCTATTAAGAAAAAGATATTTTACAATAACAGCTAATGCACAATTTTATTCAAAGTCAACTTTTCTAATTTGCATGCCTGCGCATTTAGTGTGTTAAATTTCGCATTAATTAATGTCCACTTACTGTCCACTCTTAACTGTATTGCCTGCGTACGGAATACTCTTTGAAGAGAGTTAATTTATCTAATTCACAACGAATATATTTAATTTATTGACATATAACTTTTAATGTTAACAATAGGTATAATCAGATCATTCACAACATATATTTTGAATCTTGCACTTTCAGAATTGAAGAAATGTGAGCATCGAGGTAAGAAAATACTAGATTCATTGTAACACTTCAAGTTATTCTCAGCCTAGAATAATAAAGAAATATGTACTTGAATTGTCTTAATCCACAGGTGTTAGTAAATGCAGAATATTCAATTCTAATTGTAGCTAGAGTTATTTTCTCGATATAAAGAGCGATAATATGCCACAAGCATTTAATCTGAATATACGTTTGGCGAAAGTGAAATTTTGCCGATTAAATAAACCTGCAAAATGAAAGCGCAGTATGATTTTCTATTAAAATGGTAGCAGAAATTATACGTCATACATTTATAACTGCGGAACAAATGCAAAATAAATAAATGAAACAAAAAATATCTGAAAAATTTCAGTTCTTATATTGCGCCCGAAAGGATGTTTTTTTTTTAATGTTTTGTGTATTACCTTTATTGATTAACTATCATGTTCTTCGCACTTAAAAGTGTTGACGATTAAATAAACTTATAAAATGAAACCACTAAGACATTTTTTAGGAAAACAATTTGTTCCCCATACATTTATAACTGCTAAACAAATGCAAAATAAAACGTAAACAACAACATGCGCTCATATGCACAGTTTCGAAAATTTAGCTTCACAAGAGCAATAGAAGCTAATTGGTCCATTTTTTGAAACCTCTCCCTCAGTAGCGATACTGATGTGCACTTGTGAACTATGCGTCCCCGATTCGAATCCGGGCCCAATGGGCAGCCAGCGTCACTAATCACCATACTCATGAGGACGACCAGGAGTCAGATCAGGCGATCGTACAATCATATTGATGCAGTTGTGATTCTCGTGCCGCCCAGCCGGTACGGCGTTAAGAGACGCCACTACCACAAGGATGGACCCGGGTTGCGTGGCAAACCACACATTGAGTTGATCAATGTTACCGAATTTTGCTTACTGCGCATGCTCAATAGTATACCGCTGGCGTGGGAGGAAATCCTAGCGACTAAGCATAAGCAACTCTACACAAGGCTGTTTGTTAGCCATGTTGGGATGGGGGTACCTTTTTTTTTTAAATTGCATTACTATAGAAATTTGTTGTGTGCTAATTGATGTGCTTCTGTTTCGTTTAATTTTGGCTTATTTTGTTCATAAATATTACAATTAATATCAGCTATTTGACTTTGATTCAGCAATTTGAACTGAATTTATTCCTTAATTTTATAAAGTATATACGAATGGAACGTATGGTAAATACTCAGTTGCTTTTATTCCTCAGAAGTATAATCAAAAAGCATTCAGCTAATATATCTTGTAATGTTTCCTGTTTTGTTATCTTTCTTAAACAAAAATTTGCGTAGTTTACAATCGGTAGTTACACTCTAAATAATGAAGCAACTTACATCCTAACAAGTTTTAAAACCCTGAACGGTTTACGCCCAGATAACACAATATCAACCATATACCGTATTTATCTTCTTTTAAAATAATTGTCGTTGCGCCAGATTCCATTCTGAGTATGCGCAGTAAGCGAAATTCATTTAACATTGATCAACTCAATGTGCGGTTTGCCATTACGCATCCGGGTTCGGCTCTCGAAAAAGGCATGGATGTTTGTGACTGTTATGATTGGCAGGGAAGCACTCAATCGAAAGCTCTCTCAAGCTTTTGATGGTGGAAGAGAGGGGGAGGATCCGCGAACCAGTGCCAGATTTACGCATAAGCTGCACAAGCCCCACCCCCGCTTTCTTGGAGCCACCTTCAAAGATTATACCATATCCCATATAAAAATTGACTCATATCCCTCATCTGTATCGCCCCATATCTCAAGGGCCCCACATCTCAAATAGCTCAGGACGTTGTCAAATCTAAATCCACTCCTGCCGACGAACCACATTTTTGATTCGAACACGGGGTGTTCTCCTTGAGTGGATGAATAAAAAGTATTTTATTAACGACTAAAATTTGAACAAGATAAAGGGAGAGTGTGAGCTAATAGTAGAAATTTAAAAAGCTTTTATAATTCACAAATATACATTACTGTGTATAAGGACGGTAGACTTTTATCCTAGAACTGAAGACAGCATCCATGAATTTCATTTCCTATTCACATTTACCAAACGTTAGCTACATTTATCTACGTATAGCAAATGTCTCACCTATTCACATTAATATAATATTAATTTCGTATTCACATTTACCGAACGTAGCTATATTTATCTACGTATCAGTATCAGTAGCGGGCGCAGCCCGACCCACCTAACCAAACAAGTTATATTTATCTACGTATATATACACTAAGCGAACTCTGGCAAATTCCATATTATTTCAAATGGGACAGCCTAAAGCGAGTGCGCGATTGAAAGCCAGCGCGCGAAAAGTGCAATAAAAATCAAAAAAGCAGAAAATGTTTTAAAATTTTTGCAGTACTAGTTCGATAGTTTTTAACTACCTTCTTCAGCTGCTGAGTGAAAATGAACCAAATAAAGGGTGAAGAAAGATAAGATAGAGATAAAATAAGAAGATGGACAGAAGTTAAGCTACTGGCGCGATCTATTGATGAAACAAGAATAACTAAAACAAAATTTCTTTAAGGGCTGAAAGGTAAAAGATGGACTGTTCTAGTTAATGACCCCAATTGCAATCCGTCTTTACCTTCAGCCTTTAAAAAAATTTTGTTTTAATTTTTCTTCTTTCATCAATAGATAGCGCCAGTAGCTTAACTTCTATCCAACTTTTCTCATCTTATCTCTATCCTTATCTTATCTTTCTTCACCCTTTATTTGGTTCATTTGCACTCAGCAGCTGAAGAAGGTAGTTCAAAAATTATGGAAATTAGTACTGCAAACAATTTTTTAAAATTTACGCTGATTCTTAATGCTGGACTTTGTTTTTGATTGCTGTTTAGCGTGATATTTAAACTAAATTATTTGACTGATGATTTGAATTACTTTTCAGGGCCCTCTTCGATTATGACCCGTCGAAGGACAGTGGTCTACCAAGCAGGGGCCTGCCTTTTAAGCTGGGTGACATTCTTCACGTGATCAATGCCAGTGACGACGAATGGTGGCAAGCCACTAAAATTCTCCCGGACGGAGAAGAAGAAGGAATCGGCATCGTACCATCTAAAAGAAGGTTTGTATCACTAAGTACAAAAAAAGAAAGAGCTGGGGGATCACTGGGACTAGAAACTCGGGTTGAACTACCAATGTTTAGTGACTTTTCCGCTTGATCATAAGACCTTTTGAAATTAGGCTGAACGATATATTAAAGAAAATAGAAGATACAGCACACGTAAGAACAAAAGTGGGCTGAATTAGAGTTTTACATGTTTGGTGAATGAGTTAAACTTACCTGTATGCCATTATGAAATATTAGGAATGTAGCATAAAAGCATGAGTGAAGAAGGCAATGGCAATCTAAATCATTGTAATCTAAATATATAGCATTATCAGTATCTGCTATTAATTTCAATACTGCTGAAAAAATTATAAATGAATTATATTAAAAATCACATGAACTCGTTGCATTATAAATTACAACAGTTAGAAATATTATTAGCGTGATTTAGCGACCATCTTTGTTAACAAATAATTTCACGTAATTAATTTTACAAATAAAGCCTGAAACTAGTTTAGCAAATAAGCTACATGCTGAAGATTAAGCTTTGCCAAAGTGTTAAAAACATCTTCTGTTAACTAGAGTTGTGATGCAAGAATTTTTAAAAATTATCATTTAAATATAAATTGGCATAAATACAATACAAAGTATATAAATTCTACATACATGAAAACCTGAGTACAGTGCAACAATATGTCAAAAAGGTATGGATTAAAAGGGAACTGAAAATCCCAGGATGTGAATATAAGGGAGTTTGAATTTTTTTTTTTTTTTTTTGTTTGTTTGTTTGTTTGTTAATTATAAAAATTCTGCTGACTCTCATAATTATTAATTTATTAATTAAATGTGTATAAAAATTAAATGAATGCCAAAGTACATCAGGTGGAAAACAGAATAAAGTTTCTAGTATTAAATATGTTTCTAGTATTAAAAAGTTTCTAGTATTAAAATATGGAATTTGTAACAAAGTTAAATAACCTTAAAATAACTTCAATGACTAAAAATGGAAAGCTTAATACGGGAATATATTGCAATAATATTAGTGTGAATTTAGAACGACTTAAGAAGTCCAATTTTTAGATTTAATAAAGAGAATTTTTTAATTAAATTAGAACTGTTTACCTAAAATGGTAAATTTGAAAGTTAAAACCATTCTGCTATCTAAGAAGATTTGTTAATATTTATCTAGACAAGAAACTTATTTAAGGTGAGCTACAAATCCGATATTTGATAGGTTGATTATGTATCAGTTTTGTGTATGTCATTAATCTATCAATTTTACTATTCAAAACTGATATATATATATATATATATATATATATATATATCAGCGACTAAAATCTACAACTTGGAAAGTTTTTAATTCTTACAGAGAATAAAAAGGATCTGGCTCATCATTCCTTTAAGCATCATAAAACTTTAAAATGAGTGTAAAAGAAATTTATTTTTACTTTAGCACACGCCAGACTTTAAATTAATATTTTTTTTGCATGCCCAATTTTTAAAATATTGATAAACGAAAATAAAGGCTTGCAGTCTCAATAGAATATCCCATTAATGCCGATAAATGACTTTTTGTAGCACCCAATCTTCTTGAGAAAAAAATAGGGGACAGGAAACGTCACGCAGTTCGTGGATAAGATAAGAGGGGGACGGTGATCTTTGATCAAATTTGGCGTAGTTCGTGCCCTACCAAATTTTTTACAGTACAATTCTTGGCGCAAATTAAAAGAAACGTGCCAAGATAAATTTTTTAAATTCTACGTAAATTTGTCACCAAAAACTACACAATTTAATATCTAGGCATGATTTGAGTCGTAGAATCGAAATATGGAAAAAAATTGTTATGTTATTTCAGGAAATTCCGATTTTGTATTAAAAAACACCTAATGTTTGAAAATGCTATATATAAATCTAATATATAGCCTAAATCGCACTTTCGAGACATGGCAAACGCAAGTTAAATTTCGGCAATCGGTCCAGTAGAATGGGAAATATAGAACTGTCTCATTTTTAGTTTGTGCAAGGTGCACAAGTAATTAAGCAAGTTCTTCATCACTTAAATTTTAGTTGATTAAAGAGTACGGATATTTTTTAAATATAAAGTGCAGACTTTCGATAAATAAAAAATAAAATTATATCTAAATTATCGTTTTTCAAATTTTTCTAGTGGTGCTAGTGCACCGTTTTTTTTTTTTTTTTTTTTTTTTTTTTTATATATAAATTCAGTATACACACAGGCATCTTTTACCGGTTCCATTTGGTTCATCTATCACTTTTGACAGGTTTCACTTTTGCATTAAAAAAAAAATGCCGTCTTTCACACACTTGTTTGAATCATACTACGGCTTCACTTCCTCGGCTTAAAGTATTGAATAATGCAATGTATGGATTATTCTGCAGGTCTTTTTTGTTACTGTTTAGGTAACACTACTGGCATGACAGCCTGTTTGATTCAAAAAATGCGCATTTGGCTAATCTTTGGAATATGGTAACAGGTAGTTTGGCGACATTTTGGTAAGGCAATAAAGGTTACTAGCTAGGACTATAGCAGTGTACATGGATAAAGTCAAGAGTGTGCGCAATGCCATTTTTGTGCATTCTGGGATGTTTTTTACCGTGTATGTACAATTCTTAAAAAACGCGGCAAGCAGTGGGCGATTCTGCACTTTCTCCCAATTTCGCACCTAATCTTCGTCATGATTAAGCACTTTTGTTCCATAAAAGTTCTAGCATAAGCGTAATTCGGCTAGCAGATTGTTGGGAAAAAGCCTTTACTTCGTGAAAAGAAAATGGCGTCCAAAAAAAAAAAAACTAGCAGGTTGCTGTAGCAAGGTTGGTCTCCAAATTTTCGCCAAAAAGTCGCCAGGTTACCATAATCCGAAGATTAACCGCGCATTTTTCAAACTGAGTTTGAAATGTTTTGTCAATTTTATCAGATAATAAAATGAATCCATGATTTTTCTGTTTATATCATAAAAGCCATTACGTTTCCAACCTTCGTCTGGATTTTAAATGTACCAGAAAAATGCCTAAAGGGAACACCAGACATTAAATTTAAAAACTGCGTAAAATTTACTCTGGAGAACAACTTTATCAAAAAAAAATTCAATAAAAAACTATTATATATATAAAAGAATTACAGTGAAATAAGCAATATCTTTTAACAAAAATATTAATTATCCTAATAAAAAAAATTCGGCCAAAATTCGTCCGGCTTTTAAATGTACCGGAAAAGTGCTTAAAGGGAACACCAAACGATATATATATATATATATATAACCACAAATTTGAAAGAAAATGTATTACACATAACAAAATTACAGTGAAATAAGCAACATCCCTTAATACAAATATTAATTATTCTAATAAATAAATTAACCAACTTCCCGTTGCAAAATCTTAAGCATTCAAATATTATAAAGTAAGTTAAGAACTTTGTTTCCTAAAACAATCCGCAAAACTTTTTTATAATGAAATTTATGTATAATTATAACATAATGTAAAAAATGCAATGAAATAAGCAATAAATCTCATATTTGCAAGAGAAAACAGTCAGCAGTCCACTATTCAAAGCAATGAATGAAAAACTGTTCCAAAACCACATGAATGAAACTATCATCAGAAATCAATAACCCATCAAAATTTTGGTTTGTGGACGACATAATTCTAAATATACAACCCTCTTTGCCATTAGCTAATAAAGAGAGAGAGAGAGTGCGAAAAACAGGAAATTCTTTCTGTTGTGCATCACGAGACACATGCGCGTCAGAATAAGAAGATTGCGATGTGCGTGTTGCGTGTATAATTAATAATATTTTATCTCACAATTTCAACAGTCAGCAATCCAGTACACAAAGTACTGAATGAAACACTGTCGCCAACACCACATTCCTAGAGGCATGAAACTATTCAAAATGATGCGGTTTCATCAAAAAAGATAAATTAATAAACAATGTGATTCGATTTTTGAAAAACGTCGCTTCGAGGTGCACTGGCTCTTGTCTAGACGCACCTATGTACCCAATTTCGTAGCCCTGGGTCTATTAGCTTACGCGCAGCACGAACGAAAGACACTTCACAGAGAGACTCTTTCTTTAATTATATGTAGAGATGTGTTGATTTTGATTATGTTCTTCAAGTTTTTGTAAAATGTAACCTGAAATTAGTTTCAACTTGTTTATTGAAATTACAGAGTGGAACGGAAGGAGAAAGCTAGATTAAAATCTGTGAAGTTTCAAGGAAAAAGCAGTATAAACGACGGCAAGGTGAGCATGCATTTTTATATTTTCTTGCGCATTAATATAATTTAGAAGTCAAACAACAAAAATCAGCGTTAAATTTGCAGATTTTCACAGGCCTAGCAATGACGGTTTTCTCGAACTATCATGCTCAACTACCAAAGCGCAAATGAACGAGAAAAGATAGTTCGATCCAGTAGAATGGTGTCCAAACACCAGGGTACCTGGGCAGAAGCCCTACCCCTTGCAGAATAAATTAAGACGTTTTTCGAATCTGAGTATTTTCCTCGAACGATAATATGAAGAAACTAAATTGATAAAGCTGATAGTAATTTAAGATGAAAACATTAAGCTAGGAAAATAATTTAAATTTAAGGATATAAAATCTAATAGCTGCAGGCCAGAAGGCCGTCGAGCTGGTGAGCAGGATACTTGTAAAATGCTGCAAAAATTCAGAAGTCCTTGAGAGGTAAAAAGCAAATGGAATTACTCATAGGTGGTCATCTGTAGGATTTGCTGTACGGTTGGGAGTACTCCTCTCAGTTTCTCAGCTAAGTTGACATTCCGAAGGAAGCTTAGAATTTCGGAGAAAACTTTTAGCAGTTCTTGAATATCTGGGATAACAAACCAGGGTAGAAGTCTTTCCAGGATGTTTGGCGATGTTGGAGGCTTACTTCTCAGTTTTTCGCTGTAGCTGGCTTTGCTCGCAGTCCTGGTCTGCCGAGGATCTGACTTTGTCAGCTCAGGAAAATTTTCTTGTGTGGCATCTGGGGTAGTTTGGCCTGACTTCCTTTCTCAAACTTCTCGTATGCCGCGCAACCGCGGAAGCTGCTTACATGGTCCCCTTGCCAAAAAATGCAGCAGGGCTTTTCTTCTGGTCTTTTCGAGCATGTGTTGCTCCTGTGAAGTCCTCCACACTTGACGCATCTCTCAGGATTATTGTATAGGTGCTGCGTATGTCCGAAGACCTGGCAACGAAAACATTGCACAGTACTTTTCTTTGAGTTGTACTTCTCCACACGTATGTCAAAACTGAAGACATTGTTCAGATATGGAGAATCTGGTTCCCTTCAGTATTTCTCTTTGAGTTTAACAAAAAATATGGGCAGTGTGGCTTTTGCTCCGTTTTTGCTACTCTCAAACTGCTTTACCTTGACAGCAGGAAATTTTCTATTCCTCAGAATAGAGTCTTCTTTGATAGAAGCAGGGAGTCCCTTCAGAATTACTCTTATGTTCCTTTCGCGTCGTGGTTGGTACGGGTGAAATGCAGTATTCCTGTCTTTGAGAAGTTTCATCATACTTTGGTAATCCGCATGGCTTTTCATATAGACTTGAATGGTTCTGGACTTGACACTAGATTCATAACCATCTGGGCAGTTTTTGGTAAAAAGTTCATCGATAGTCAGCCAATCAGGTGTATCGCACGGGAACACAATGGGCAGGAGCTTTTCCACTGCAGACGCTTCTCCTCTTTGGCTTGTGCTTTCTAGAGCTTCAAATCTGTTAGTCTGGGTGACTACCAGAAACTTGATGTTTCACGGAATTCCTCCGAACTTTCCATTCCTGGTCATTCATCTCTTCGTCAGGGATAATTTCGTCAGTTCTAGGCTTATTTACGCTGGATTCAGCAATCGGCTGGGCGGGCTGTTGTTCACGTGCCTGCTTCTGCTGCTGTACTTGCGCCTGCTGCTCATGGAGTATCTTCTCGACCTCACTACCAGACCATCAAAAGTCTAAAAACATGATCTATACCCTGTGTCTTAACCAGAGCCTTGATTTCTTCATCCGTAAGATTGGAGACATTGGAAATGCTCTTAACCTTCTTTCCTTTCGCTTTGCCCTTTCCTTTCCTAATACTGCTCTCGGCGACGAAATCTTCTTTCCTGAACTTTACTGGCATCGATCTAGTAGACTGGAACGATTTTTCAGATTCCCTCTCACTTAAATCATCATCGGTAACATCGGTCGGAGTCCTAAAGAAGGTAGTACATTTTAAGTTGTACTCGCAGGTACCTCCGCAGTCCAAAAGAAACACCTAAAAGTCACGATAAATCGGAGCTCATACTAAGTACGACTTTCTCCTGTCACCGCAGGAAGAGAGAATGAAAGAAGATATACTGATTAGATAAGATAAGAAAGGCTGGACTTTAAGCTACTGGCCCCATCTGTTTTTGAAACAAGAACTAAAACATAATTTCCTGAAAGCCTGAAGGCAAATATGGATTGGATTTAGGGTCGTTAACTAGAACAGAAAGATTTTTTTTTGAAAGTGAAACTAGAAAACCTAATTGCGAGTTCCATACTCAAAGACCCCATTTCGGATATGAATTTCTGGGGTATTTACAGGATTCCTTGCCACTGCGGTTTAATTTGCATTGGTCAAACTAAGAGAACCTTAAAATTTCGCGTTAAGGGACATGAGGCATATGTTATAAAAGGAAACACAGAAGTCCTCGGTTACCCAACATTGTTGGTCCAAAAATCAACCTTCCAATTTTTCTGAAGCCAAAATTATCCAAAAAACATCTTCCATTGGTGAATTAGATGGAAGACTGTCAGGAAAGAGGAACAAAAGTAAATAAATGACTATTAAAATCATTAATAAATTAAAAGTTGTCTAATTAATTAGTTAATTATTAACAAATTATGTCGATTTTTAAATTATAAATATGTAATTAATTATTTTTAATTAGTTAATTATCAAATTAGTTAATATTTATCAATCATCATTTAATTCATATTTATTATTAAATTAAAATAGAAATTAATAATATATTATTCTTTTAAATAATTAAAGATTAAGATAATTAAATAATTAAAATTAAATAAAATGTAGAGATACACTAAAATTTAATGAGCGATTTTTAATATAATTTTATTGCAAAAAATAAAATTTTCGAGATCAAATTTCTACTGAAATTGTTGTTCAGTTACGTAAAAGAAGAGCCGGAGCCTTCTTATTCAGAGCTCCGCCTAGAATTATGATTTATCCTCAAAACAAAGAAGTACAGGAGCCGGACTTTAGCGCAATTTAAGTTTTACCTACTATTTTCCTACTATTAGCTCACTCTCTCCCTATATTGTGTATTATTTATTCATCCACTCAAGTTCAAATACATTTTTTTAAAACTTGCAGTGGATGACACTTGATGTTAATACAGTTTTTTCACATATTAATTTTTTTTAATTTTATTAATTTAATTTAAATTTGTTAATTTTTTGTATTTAATTTTTTTTTCTTTGTTGACCTAAGTAGGAATTGACTTAATTGAAAGTTTTTTATTTAATCAGTTCTTAATTAATTAATTTTCAATCGTTAATAAAATACTTTTTATTCAGCCACTCAAGTTCAAATCCATTTTTTTTAAGTTGTAGTGAATGACACTTGATGTTAATACAGGTTTTTTACATTTTAATTTTTTTTTAAATTTTTCTTTGTTGACCTAAGTAGGAACTGACTTTTAAAAAAATTAATTTATATTGCTTGTTATGATTTCGTTTGCCCAAGAAGGGATGTCTCAATTTTAGATAAATGATCTTGCTATCAATTTCATTAAAATTTGTAATCTTGTCATTGTGTCGTAATTTAGTACCCATTACGGAATTCCTTTTTCCTATTTCAGAATACATTAGACAGGAAGAAAAAGAATTTTTCTTTTTCTCGAAAATTCCCATTCATGAAAAGCAAAGAGAATGCTGGTGAAGACGGAAGCGATGTCGAAAGTAAGAAAAGAAAATTTTGTTTTAATTTTTAGGCTTTCAGTATAATCTTAGCTCAGTAATTTAGATTCCATATTTATCTGATTAATACATTATGCTAATGTCATTTGATTTTTGGATTCAAAACACATTTTGTGTACTTTTTAATAAAGCTGGTTTTATTATGTTGCATTTTAATTTGAGAACAAAAAGGAGGAAAGAGAAAAAGTAGTTCAGATGGATACTTTGTAGAGACATTAAGTCATTTCGAAATCAAGAGATGTGAAAAATGAGCAGTGCTCTCGCCGGTACTCGAGCCACGGACCTCTGGAAAACGCGCCGAGTGTGCTGACCACTACACCACGAAGACATGCTAAGAAGGCGGGAGAAATACTTATATACTCCCCCTTTTAAAGGGCGACTGGGGATTAGCGAACCCAATCGCCAAATCCTGGTGGTGGAGAACCGTCATCTACCACTTTTTTTTTTTATTTCGAGCGCCATTGTGAAGATATTAAGTATTTTGAAAGCAGGAGAAGTGAAAAATGATCAATGCCTTTGCCGGGACTCGAACGACGGACCTTTCGAATACACGCCGAGTGTGCTGACCATTACACCACGAAGGCATGCTAAGAAAGAGGGAGAAATACCTTATAATTTCACTTGTTACTTGTAGGCTGATTTCTGAGGCCAAAGACCTGACGATATGTTTTCACAGTTATCATCAATTCTGCTTATATTATGGATAAAAAAAAACCTTTTAAGTATTTGAAATTGTTTAGTTAAAAATTATAAACTGCAGTTACATAAATAATAATGTTCATAAATGGAACAAGCATTATGTGAAAAATGACAAAAATTAAGCAAAATTAAATTTTCCAATTTAAAAATTGCCCAAGTCTGAATCTTTGCAGTATGTAAGGTTTGCGACCAAGATTTCGACCAAGGCTACGACAAAGGTTTGCGAAAATAAAGGCCTGGTAAGGACTTTAGAGGACGTAGTATATGGACGTGGGCGTTTTTGCAAAAATTAATGCCATAGAGTATTTTACGGACAATCTATTGTAAACGTCAGTTTTAATTTCTACACCTATTGACTTTGTTTTCCATCTACGATCCTTAACATTCCTTAAAGATCCTTAAAGATCATGTTGTGTATATTCAGATTTACCACGTCATTAACCAGTTAACTGTGACTGACGAGTATACTGGTCATGGAGAAGCGGCACGATTTTGTGTATTGACGAGTATACTCGTCATGCGTATAATGAAATGGAAAGATTAGAGGAACATTTTATTTAGTAAGTACTTTACATAATGACAACGTAATAGAAACAGAGAAAAGAAAAATAATAACAAAGAAACCGGAGCTAGTGATTGATTATAATAAAAAAAAAATGGGTGGGTTGGATATGAGCGATGGAATTATCATAGCGTACTCCACAGTAAGAAAACGACTCAAAAAGTACTCTAAAAAGATATTTCTCCATTTCTTAGACATTGTGTGTCTGAATGCATTCATATTATATAAAAAAATGGAACTTTATCGCGTATCAAATTTTTGCTCAAATTTATTGAAGACACTTTTGCGACGTATCCAATTGAAAGAAATAAATCGACACAAACTCGGCCAGTTAGACCTAATATAAGCCAATGAGGCGGGAATCCTGTTCCGAATTATATACCCGGAACATCGAAAAAAAAAAAAAAAAAACCTACGCGAAGGTGTTCGCATTGCTATAAACATAAGATCCGGAAGGAATCGCGTGACTGGTGTTCGATATGCAAAGTCCCATTGTGTATAGTATCCTGTTTTGCTGAATATCCCTCCACAGCAGGAATTAAAAGTTTTACTTTTATATGTATAATAATTAATTTAATTTATTGCGTTTTTATTTTAATATGTATGTCATATATACTTGTGTTAACCAAATAAGTAAATATTATTAATTTTCAATTTTATAAAATAAACCCATCTTTTTCGTCCAGTATCTTACCAGCGCAACTTTTCTGTGATTGATGAATATACTCGTCATGGCTAGAATTCTGGCGACGCAAAACGAGTACGCCACAGTTAACTGGTTAAAATGCAGCCTTAAAAGAACACCTAAATAGTTAAATACTTAAAGCAATCGAAAAGTGTTTGTCAGTCATTTTGATTGATAATGAATAAAAATTAAACAATTCCATCTGAACTACTTGTCAGTTCTGCCAAATTATTGAAATCCAGTGTAATATTTCAGCAGCCTTTATTGCTGCTTCTTTTTTTGCAGCTGTAGCTTCTTTTTTGCAAAGCGCAGATTTCCGATATGTTATAATAATTATCTACATCTAAGAGCTTAGTAATCACTGCATGGATAGCTAGCTCACCTTAACTAACTGTTACTTAAAGCATGGCTCATGCATGGATTTTGTTTTATTTTTGGCACTTGCAAACTTTAATCCCTCAGTACTTTAACGGTGTTGTAAACAAATGTTTTCTGTGGTTTTAATTAAAACTCACTCGTAAATGAATTTATATGCAAACATAAATCTTCATTGCATAGAAAAGGAAGACTCATAAAAATAAGCGCAATTTAAAATTATGTCAAAGGAAAAATTGCTTAAATATTTTTCAAAATCAATATATCCATTAAAATAATTTTTCTCCCCATTTTGCTTTAACATTTTATATACAAAACATGTGTGTATGTTTCATAATTATAGAAAATAGCTTTAAGAATGAACTTTTTTTTACAAAAAAAAAGTATTGATTGTTTTTTACTTGCTTTTTACAAATGATAGCTTTAAGAATTACAAATAGTTTTAAGAATGAACTTCCAAAACATTCATATACGTATATGTATGTTTTGTAATTAAAGAAAAGAGCTTTAAGAATGAGCTATTTTTTTAATACAAAATTTTTTTAATACAAAAGTATTGAGTATTTTACTTGCTACAAACGATAACTTTCAAAATTACAAATAGTTTTAAGAATGAACTTCCAAAACATTCATATATGTATATGTATGTTTCGTAATTAAAGAACATAGCTTTAAAAATGAGCCATTTTTTTCTTTACAAGAAACAGAGAGTATTAATGATTTCACTCGCTTACAAACGATATCTTTAAGAATTACAAGTAGTTTTAAAAAGAAATTTTCTTTACAAAACAGTGAATATATATGAATATGTTTTTGTGCAGCCATTTTCGAATTTAAGTTCATTCGAAATAAAAAGCCATGTATTTTTTTTTATGTAAATTTTATGTAAAATTTACCTTTGATTATTTTCAGAAAATTTTAATTATAGTATATTGAATATCTAAAACGTACATAAGATAATTTTAAAATTTGCTTACTATCCATATTTTTATTACGTACACTTTTCAAAATTTTCTGTGTTGTACAAAAACCTGTATTTCCCCAGAACATTATAAGGCTTGACTCCTTTCTGATAAGTTGATTCATTTAAATTTTGTTTATTTGATTTATTTATTAAAGATAACAATTCAGAAGTTTTTTCTTAATTAAGATAATTTAAATCTGTTATCTTTAACCTACAGAATTCACTCAAAGAAAAGCGGCAAAGAAATTCTAATCAAAAAACATTATTTTCGTTGTTTCAAAGAACATGCCTTTTAAACATCATCAACAACAATGAATGAAGCGTTTGAAAATGAATTCTCAGGTTCTTTCATATTTAGTATTTCGTAATCGATTACTTTAGTTTTTAATGAACAGAATTTCATATTCGGCCATGTAATTTTATGCGAATCCCATTATCTTAACGTTACTTGATGCCTAATACAAAGATAATTGTCTAAATATCAATCACAGTAATAGTGACATTGTTCTTTCAGATGGCTTGAATCTGCACTTTTGCATGCTATTTCTTTCTTTTTTATTTTATCATATTGCACATCTGTTGCAATTTTAATATCGTAGTTAAACCATTTCATGATGGCTAATCCACTATACAAGTAGAATAATCATGGCTGGGATTTTTTTTTTTTTTTTTTTTTTTAATCTAGCGAACAAGCACTGACATCTAACTGACGATCGTCTGCGTCTAGAATTTGCAGATTTATTTTGTATAATGAAATGATTTATTTGTAAAGTTTTCAAATCGAGGATACATGAATTGGTACAGCAATAAAATTATCAATACATGCCAATTCGAATAACTAGCTTAGAATGTTAACTTCGAAGTCAAACAACAAAAATCAGCATTATATTTGCAAATTTCCACAGGACTAGTTTCGATAGTTTTACCGAACCATCACCCTCAGCTGTCAAAGTGCAAATGAACGAAATAAGATAGGATAAGAATGGCTGAACAGGAGTTAAGCTACTGTCGCCATCTATTGGTGAAACAAGAAAACTAAAACATAATTTCCTTACAGGCTTGAAGGTAAAGATGGATAGGAATTAGGGTCGTTAAATACAACAGAAAGATTTTTTTAGAATGTGAAACGCCTCATGAAAATCTAATTCACCAGTTGAAGATTGTTTTAATAATTTTGGCTGGAAAAAAATTGAAAGTGTTATTTTCGGGCCAACTGAGCTGCGCAACAGGGGACTTCTATGTTTCCTTTTTTCTAACATATGCCTCATGTTCTTTAACGCGAAATTTTAAGGCTCTGTTAGTTTGACCAATGTAAATTAAACCACACTGGCGAGGAATCCTGTAAATACCCCAGGAATTCATATCCGAAATGGGGTCCTTGAGTATGGAACTTGGAATTTTATTGATAGGAGAATAAACGACACAAAAGTTAAATTTTTGTAAAATACGTGCAGTTTTATAGCTGCACTATTTATAGCTATTTGATTTAAAGAAAGGAGTGACGACAGAATTCTTATAATCTCCTAAAACAAGAGTATGCCTTTTGATGCGTTAAGATAAGAATTTTTTAACTGCTTGGTCGATAATGTTGTGTGAAAAACTCCTGTCAATAGCTACTACTTTTAAATCATTTAGTTCTTGATTAAGAGCCAGTTGGAAGGAGCAAACTTCAAGTGCACGGAAAACAAAGGAATAAAATGAAGCTAGCTTTTGTTTAGTCGGAGGATATGATTTGAAGTGTGGTGGAAGGCAAACTGATGAAGGTGTACGATAAACACTAGTACTGAAGTTGATCTTTATTACCGTCAAACAAGGTAAAAGTATCGTCTACGTAGCGAAACCATACCTCGAAGTTTAAAGTTTGAAATAAATGTGATTCATATTTATGCATGTAGATATGGATGTAGGATGAGATTAAAAAGGCTTCCCATGGCTAATCCCTCAGTACTTATTCAGTTAATCCCTGAGTACTTATTCAGTTAATCCCTGAGTACTTATTCAGTTAATCCCTCAGAACTTATTCAGTTAATCCCTCAGTACTTATTCAGTTAATCTCTCACTACTTATGCCCCACCAGCGGCCGAGCGGTAACGTCGCTGAACACTGGTAGTTCGGTCTGAGGTTCAAATCCCGCGAATGGGCTGACTGCATGGGCGTTTTCGTGGTTTTCCCCATGTGTAACGTGTATACCAGCCAGTTTTCCTTAGAAAGTCCTCCACGAAGGCATCCCTCCCTTAAGACAGATAGCCCTCGAGTGCTTTGCCTTAATCTAATAAAACCAAACTCTCACTATTTATTCAGTTAATCAATATACAATACTTATTCAGGTATATGCCCAGGCCCACCAGCGACCGAGCGGTAACGTCGCTGAACACTGGTAGTTCGGTCCGAGGTTCGAATCCCGCGAACGGGCTGGCTGCATGGGCGTTTTCGTGGTTTTTCCCATGTGTAACGTGTATACGAGCCAATTCCCCTTAGAAAGTCTTCCACGAAGGCATCCCTCCCCTTAGACAGATAGCCCTCGATGCTTTGCCATAATCACACACACACAGTTAATCCCTCAGTACTTATTCAATTAATCTCTCGGTGCTTATTTTGGGAAACAAAATGCGTTTGTTTCAAACAGGATGCAGGAGAAATGAAATTCACGAAGTCTGGTTTCTAGACATCTTAATGTACCCTCCATTGAAACATTGACGAATAATGATTTTACATCAAAAGAAACCATGAGTAAATTTGTAGGAGAAATGCTTTTAACTTTTTTTTACAAACTCTATTCAATTTTTTATAGTGTAAATGTTATTATTTAATAGAGTTGAATATCTAGGAACTGAATAAGTACTAAATAAATTTGCAAATATAACACTGATTTCTGTTGTGTGAGTTCTAAGTTAATATATGTTCGTCGTGTTATTTTAACCTAAATTAGCTTAAAATGTTTGTTCCTAAGACGAAGCTATATTGTTCCTTGAAATGTTTCAAATGTTATTTTTTTTCTTTTATTATTATGATTAACGCAAAATAATTTTTGAATTTTAGCGCTTATTAGAAAAAATGTGTGCTATTTTACGAATAATGAGGATATGTACATTTTCTGTTTCAAATATGATCACACGTTTTATATACAGGATGCACCTTAAATGTTGTGACAAACTTCTAGGAGAGGTAGAGCACATCATAAGGATTAAGAATTGCATAGGAACCTATAAAACCGGAAATGTCAGAGGTACGTGATAGCAGAGGTAGAAGTTGGGAAAGGAAACAAGAGAGTGATTCATTTGAAACATTTATTGGACATGAATACAAATGGTGTTTCGACAGTTTGAATGTTACAACAGATGCTCGAAGTTTGCACCATCAGACGCCAAACATGCCTGACACCGACCGGACCATTCATTGCCGGACATGTTCAAACGCTCGGGGAGTTTCTCTGATTGTAGCAGCTGCGCAGGCGAGTCTTACCATGAGATCCATTTCAGACAAACAGGATCGTGATACACAACACTTTTGATGGCTTCTCACGAAGAGAAATCAAGGCTCGATAAATCCGGTGAGCATGGGGGTCAGGGAACGGGTCCGCCACGCCCAATCCATCAGTACGAAGAATGAGCTGTTCAGATGGCTACGAACATCCAGTCCAAAATCAGTCCAATTCTTTAATGACTCATAGTCGCACACATTTTGACGCAGACGTGCAAACAAACTATGGTGTAGTGGATGACTGTCGGGGAAACGTTCTCAATAAATGCGTGCAGAGGTTCGTCCATTACCTTCAGCCATTCCATACACTAAGTACAGGTCTGCAAACTCTCCGTTCGTATAGCCTTTCGTGCTCTTCGTATGGTGCTTACCCGGAAACACTACCAAATTGACCGACCATAGGACTTAACGAGTCTCTCTGTGTAATTATCAAGTTGGCAGATGCCGTCTAATATCTGCTATCCGTAGTTACAGCGTGGATGCATTTATAACAATTCTCCAAAATATTACAGAGCCACATATGCATACAGTTTCGCATAGACATTTTTACATATAATAAATACTATACATTTTCGATGCTAGGATGTTAAATACAGCTATTTGTTATCACTAACTTAGCAGTTAAATTTCCTGTTTCTTGGAAATTGCTAAAGATTCATTTTATTAAACAGTTTCTAGAGGTTACTTCGCAAAAGGATTAACAGAGCACATTATTAAATACAAAATTGACAGTTGCACAAGGTTAATAGATCCCGTTATGAATTAAATACCAGATTCACACTTTTATATAAACTAATAGTTACAAAAGAATCAATTAAAATCAGCACATTCAAATGACCAAAATTAAATGCACTTATTATAAAACTATAGCTACATAACATTAGAAGTTACATAATTGTTGAACAGAGAATAATAAATGTGCCTATAGGACTTGTAGAGGATAAGATCTACTTTCCTTAAAACAAAATAAAACAAACAAACAAAAAGAATAAATAAATAATTTTTTTTTTTTTTTTTTTTTTTTTTTAATAAGGAAAATATATTACTGTATATTCCTTAAAATACAACAGATATGCTACTGATTACATAGACATAATATGCACAAGGGAGCTAATAACCCAATAATTAAATATAGTACAAAATAATTGCTAGTTATAAATTAGACGTAATATTAATATGTATATATATATTTATTGGGAACTAGGGAATCAAACAAAATATAAAATCGCTCGAGTGAGGCAATCTTCACAAAGAACGTCTACGTAAAGAAGGAAAGGTTCCATAGACGTAATGTAAACCAGTTTGCTATTACGCCGCTGAAAAGCGGAGGGAAAATTCGCCAACGGATTTGGCAACGGAACCTGGCGGCGAGAATTTCCCCATCCGCGACGTGTACAGGAAATTGAGGAATACGTGTTAAAAAGTCAGTAGGATCCGGAGGCGTCCATTCACGTTTCTGGGCATGGGTTCCTATGCAATTCGTAGTCTTTGCGATGTGCCCTACATCCCCTAGAAATTTGTCGCAACATTTACGCTAGACCCTGTATATCTGCTATTTGAGCATCTTGCTATGTCAGTAGTGTCTTTCATTTGCACATCTAGCCAAAGTATATATATCTTTAGAGGTTACACTTCAAAACGCTTCAAGTTTGATTGCCTGATGCACATTTAGCTTCGTTTCACATACATTCTGAATTAAAGCCAAATTTTCAACCTAGTTATAAATTTTCCATTCTGTATTAGGTAAAAGATAAAAAATTGTTTTATTACTTGTTTCATTATTTGTAAAGGTGTGTGTAATGAAAAAAATAACCTATTTCAAATATTGCTTTTCATGTTTCGCCACTCCAAGGAGAAGGATCGCCAACTAAAGGTTAGTGTCCAAACTACATATCTATTTTGGCCCCGAAATTTATACCTTTTTACGTAATGTATTATTTCTCTTTTTCATGCATACGACTCTAGATTTTAAAGGATTTACTCAGTCCTCGAATATTATCTTTTATGACATTCATCCTTTTAAATAATATTACGGATATGTTCATATACCAACAAAAAGAAACTCACCAAAGATTATACGAGAGCTACGTTTTTAATTCTTCAGTTGTTGTGTTCAAACTAGCACCAGAACGTTTAGAGAATGTTCAATGCAAGTGCTCCATGAATGTATTTTAGAAACATTCGGGCGGAAATGTTCTGAACACACATATCGGGGAAAAAAAAAACATAAAGACAGCTTTATATCTCTCGTCCTACTGGACCGATTGACCAAATTCAAACTGCGTTTTTTAATGTTTCAAAATCGCGACTTAGGATGTATATATTAGATTTGTTTAAAGAATTGTTCCAGCGTAGCTATTTTGACACAAAATCGGATTTTTTCTGAACTAACATACCAGTTTGTTTTCCATATTTCGAATCTACGACTCAAAATATGCCAAAGTGCTAAGTTTTGTAAAAATCGTATAAGTAGTTTTTAAAAATTTAACTCTGAAAATTTTAGCTCCTTCATGTTAATTGAATTTGGTATATGCTTATTAATAGCTCACTTTTTTATTAAACTTATTTGATTTTTCCTTTCACATTGCGAAATTTAGGTTCATTACGAATGAAATTCGCCCATTTTTTTAATTTTTTTAATTTGTATTTTTAAATAAATTTTGTATATTTTTCAAAAAGAATTTTGAATTATGACCTATAAAATTTTTACCGTCATCTTAAAGTAGATGTATTTCTAAGCATACCTGCAAAAAATTAGAGTTTTTTTTTATTCAAAATTTCCTAAGATATACGTGAATTTACATATTGGCGCGTTTTGAAATTTGACATATTTGTTATAAGCGATAAAATTGCCAAATGTGGTTTACACACTTTGTTAAAATTATTTGAAAGCATGAACGATGACCTTTTTTTTTTCCCGCTCGTGTGCAATGGGAAAAAAAAAAAAAAAAAAAAAATAGCTTGCCATGAATTGAGAAGTTCGCATTTTTTAATTTCTCCGTAAATTTCTGATCAAAAATTACAAAATTTAATATCGAGGCACAATTTCAGTCGTAGAATCGAATCGAAGTCGTAGAATAAGTCGCGCTTTCGAGACGCGGCAAACGCAAGTTAAGTTTCGACTATCGGTCCAGTAAGAACAGGAGGTATAGAACTGGCCCTCCCCCCCCCTGCAATGTACATCCTAAACAAATACATGATTTAAGCATTTCATTCATATAACATATGCTGTGAATGTTTCGAAAAGTACCACGATTGTGTATTGAAATATATGTCTTAAGAACACTGCTGTAACATGCACCACTTAGTACGTCATGTAGAATGTTAATGGTGTAACATCAGGGGCACGTTATACTGTCACAGAATGAACGACATTTTTTTTAACATTTTCTGGATGTCCTGGTGCTGCTTCTGCTGTTTTCTTTCGGGGGGAGAGGCAGGCGTCTTGCCCTTCTGATTTGTAGAAATCTATAGATACATTGGAAATTACAAACCATTGGCTTTTTGAACCATTTTATCAACTTTTCAAAGGCATAGTCAGTTGCCACGGACAGGCTTTCTTATCATAACACAACTATTCGCTCTTCTTGATAGTCCCTGCGCTATTTATGTGGTACTTTCCATGGATGGGTATCCGTCGAAAACGTTGCAGAGAAAACATCGCGGAGGAAAATATCGCAAGGAGAAACCGTCGTGGGAGAAAACATCGCAGTTCTAAAATATCGTGGTCGAAAATACAGCAGTTCAACAACTTCGCAGTTTAAAAACATCGTCATCAAAAATGTGGTAAAAAATGTCTAGAAATCATCGCATGACGATAACATCGCACACATACGTTTTCAGGTTTTGAAAGTTGTAAAGGCATGTTCCTGTAAAGATTATAGCAAGAAGGAAAGGAAGATTCATTTACTTCTATATTTCATATATTTGAACGAACTAAAAAAGGAAACTTAAATCTATAAAAATTGAAAATGAGTAAAAAATTAAGGAAACTTAAAAAGCTTAATAGAACTTTAAATTTACATAGTTAATTAATCGTTTTTTATAATCGTAATATAATATAAATTAATCATTTTTATCGATTGATAATATAAATTGGTCGATAGTCTTTATTGTATCGATAATATAAATTAATCGTTTTTTTATAAAGTTTTACTGATAATTTTTTATGAAAAAATAGTCTAAAGAGGCTTAGAAAAAGGAATACAAATGATTGCATGAGGTTACCTCTATAAAAATTGCGTAGTGAATGATCAAATTATTTTCTTTCACATTTGTTAATCTGATATTGTTTTAATGAAAATTACATATTGTTTCGCTTCCGTTTATTCTTAACACGTTGAGCGCGGCGCCGAATTTGCTGTCCTGTCCGTTCAGCCGGCAGTGAGCTAAGCCGTAAAGCTAAGCCATATTTTTGTTTAGAATGTTTCAATATATCTCATTAAAACTAAATTTGATCACATTTCATTGAAACTATATTTATTTTTTAACTTTAATACTGTCCGTCCCGCGGACCGACGCTAGCCAAACAAAAATGCTAGTGTCGGCCACACGGAAAGTTCACTGCCGCGCTCAACGTGTTAAAGTGTTGTTAACATTTTCATGTATGGCGTATAATCAATTTTTTGGTGATCGATTTGTTATTTATGACAAAAGTCATAACTGACATAATATGTCACTATGCGATTTGAAAACGCATGTATGCGATGTTATCGTCATGCAGTGATTTGTAGGTACTTTATTTTTTACCGCGGTATTTTCGAAGACGATGTTTTTAAACTGCAAAGTTTTTGTACCTCTTTATTTTCGACCACGATATTTTATAACTGCGATGTTTTCTCTTTGCGATGTTTCATCCCACGATGTTTTGTACCACGACGTTTTCTCCTTGTGTTGTTTTCTCCTCGACGTTTTCGACTGTAACCCCATGGATGTCATACAGTTGACGATGAGTTTCGGCTGCATTTTCGTCCATGAATCTCACAGTCTTACAGTTGGAGAAAACATCTTCATAATTTGATTACAACTTAATTTTAAACTATAGCTATCTTGCCTATCAATCTATTAAAAACATAAATAAATTAAATGCCGGAATATAGTGTACTGCGCATGAAATACGATTTAAGAATTCAGGGTCTTACAGTACCTTCAAAAACAGAAAGCCTTGTTGTTCCCGAAACATTTCAAATTTGTTATCTAATATTTTAAACATAATTGAAACTTTCAATAGGAAATTTCAAGGTTACGCTAATAACTTCAATTAAACGCTGTTCTTGTTATAGTAACTAATCTCACTTATCTGACCTAATCAGGAGAAACCCACGAGTTTATCGTGGCAAGGAGTGGTGGAAGATAAATGTTTGTCGTCGGCCCGGGTCTTGAGCACCGTATAAGTAACGGTACGACTTTACCCAGTTCCACCCCGTTTTGAAGGCAAGTATCTCAGAGAACGGGTCCGTGAGTCTTCCACTCCTATGACCCTGCCATTACAATGCTTTCAACTCGCCATATATTTTAAGTGCTCCCATGCCGCACAGACGCTATACATTTACAAACATCTATGCCTTCTCCGGCATTCTCCCTTAGGTATACAGTAGGAACCTGTTAACTAGAATGTCATCGAACTTATTGACTTTGTTGTTGTTGACTAATGCTCACTTGTCTGATCTATAGTCACCACAAGCACACGAAGTTCCTCGTGGCAAAGAGCACAAGATACGCCTGTCTTTGGCAACAGCCTTGATCACCTTACAGGTGACAGTGCGATTTAGCTTAGCTCCACCCCCAGTTTTGATGTAAAGTACCGTGGGGTGAGGTCCGAGGGTCTTCCACCCCCTTTTCCCCTACCATCAACCTCTCGAGAAGACTTTCGACTCGCCGCATGTTTGGAGTGTCCCGATACCGCATGGACACTATACATTTACAAACATCCATGCATTCTCCGGGATTCGAGCCAGGGCTTTTTGGCAAGGCAATCAGCGATGCTAACCACTGTACCGGTTGGGCGGCACGCCGAACTATTAATATTTAGTGGTTTTTCTGCTCACCCACTCACCGAAAAAAAAGAGGAGAAAGACTTGATATATTGGTTCAGCAAAAACAAGGAAAGTTCTTCTAAAGGTTTTATGGTTATTATTGGATTGTCTTATAACGGAAAACTTAAAATAAGGAAAGTAAATAAAAATGTTAAAATGAATCCGGATTATTATCAGAAATATGTTTTAACACCTATTTTTAAATAAGAAACTCCATCTCTTTATCCAAACAATCTTTACTGTGCTAAGTTCCCTCGGGATAAGGCCCCAAGCCATACCTCTAACTCTAGCGCTCTATTTTTCGAAAAAATGAGAAATGAAACCGGAATTGAAGCTATTCCCTTAAACCCTTTGCGGCACCTAAAAATTTCCTTCTGTACGCACAGAAAAATTGAATGAAAGAGGATTTATAGGTTACTCTGAACCTTCTTTATTTATAGTAGATGGCAGCTCAACACAAACCAGTTCATATATTTTAGCTATGTTTAGTTTTTTAAAACCGTCATTTTTCAAAGAAATCTTCCAGATTTTTTAGGGTATAAAATAAAATTCTTTGAAAAGAAATTTCTATGTTATTTTTTGGCTATATGCTAATCTCCTTTTTCTGTATTAGTTTAAAAATTTTTACCGTGAAATCTTGCCTAAAATCGAACTGCGAACCCTAGGTGTGCCCAAACCGGGCTCACCGATCATCTAGGACAACAGAGAGTCTGCATTCTTTCTTTCTCCGAATCTCATCGGTCAGTTCATCGACAACAATGCTCGTTTCAGCACTCTTTTCGAAGCTCTATTCAATCAGTGTACCCACTTTAGGCACACCCACAGAATTAAAACGATA